GGCGGGAGCCGTGAGGGGAGGCGGGCCCGGCGGGGTTTGTGCGTGTCCGTCCCGAGAGCGGCCCAGCAGCCAGGTGAGAGCGCCAGGCAGCCCCTCCCTTTCATTTCCAGCCTCCCACGTTTAACCTGCCGAGCCCCCCGCGCTGCCCGGGTGACACAGGGGCAGAACCAGGCCACAGGGTTCCCGGGCCAACGCACAAGAGCAGAAGCACCTGAAAGCCAAAGCACATTCAGACAGTGACGTGTGTGCTTTCCAACAGTACTTAGAACTAATCACCTTCAGCCTCCTTGACCCTGAATGTCTTGGGCCCCAGAACTCACAGACCGCACCACAGGCGCTTCGTGAGAGGCAGGATTTTACTTCAAGGCCCTGTACTTGGAATTCCAAACACCAGTGCTCGGATGGTGCATGTGGAACACAGAGCCACAGCTGGAGGGTGAAATTCGGCAGCAGGATGGATTGTTACATGTACAGGGGGAAAAAGCTTTGTGCTGGCAAGTCCAATTAGTATTTCTACAATGCTAAGTGATTTAGAGAATGACAAGAATTCTGTACTCAAAACCTGTTCAGTGCAGAGGTCAAAGCACCAAACTCATGCATTAACTTAGGTACAATGAACCAGAAGCAGCACTAATGACAGCTCATAAAAAATTCACAAGCACAAGATGGAATGACTTATCACAACAAGGTGTTGAAACAAGATTAACTACAACGAAATTGATCACCATCTGGGGAACACTGCTGAAGGCTGAATTTCCACCATCAACGGCAGCTGACTCTTGAGACAAACTTCCAGCCAGAGGGGCACAGCACTGACCAGCAGTGCTGACTGACAGGAATGCTCTGGAGGGACAAAAACTGCCAGGGACAGGAGAAAAGTTTGAGTCAGCTGGAGCTAATTTTCTCAAATTCCCCTCTCAGTTTGCATCACCTAAATATTACATTCTAGCTAAAAGTAGAAGTCATCACTTGTTGGTACATGTTATTTATCTCAATTGATCAAATACTTTTATCTATAAGAAAGGACTGATGGACTTGTATGAGTTCTTTCAATTAATTTTATTGAGTAGCCAAATCTGATAAATTAGCACAGATAAAATAAGCATTTGCATGTGTTACAAATGACTTTTTACAGGAATAAAACAGTGAAAATTACAAACTGTAAAAAGGAGGACAAGTAAATCCTGTCTCAGATTCAGAAGGGGGAAGATTTATAACTTCATAGTGAAGATCAAATGTTTGAGTTCAGAAAAAAAAGATTTAATATTACAATATTATACACTACTTTACAAAATTAAATTTACTATAAGGATTACATCCATAATAGTAAACAGAACCTTAAAATCACATTTAATGGTCCCTTATTTAACAGCCATTTATTAAATTCTGTTAAGAAATTAATTCTAAATAAAAGTGAATCATTCTAGTTATTGCAACACAGTCTATGTGGACTTAGACTATATATTAAATTAAAACAATAATGAAAGCAAAGTAAAATGGATGGTAACAATGTTGGCTGAACACTAACGTGTCAAATACAGAAATAGTTTAAAAACAAAAAAAGTCTTCAACTAGAAAAATAGAGTACATTTGCAGTGGTAGAGCTGTCAGGCTGAGATCTAAATACCAGAGCCACTCTTGCCTATTTTTGCAGATCATCTTCAGTGTCCTCATGTTTCAATTGTAGGTAAAAATGACACATTATAGGTAGTTTGTGTGTTCATCTGTCCTGTGTTGCCCTCATGGCAATACCAGGTGAACCAGCAGGCCTTCCCCACTGCGAGGGGATAAACTAACAAAGTTCAGTACAGAAATCTCTTCTCTGGTGAAGAGAACTCCAAGAGGGTTCATCTGATTCTTGTTTATCATCTTTTGCTCTGTAAAACTTAGGGACCCTAATTCAAAATTGTTAATTGCCATAAAAACTGACATCTTGAGCCATTAGTCTGATGTACATAAAGCAACGAACCCATCTCCAACATTTACATTCTTAAAAAAAAATAAGGGATATAGTAGCAAAATACAGTCACAGCAAGAACCAGGTGGGCTGTTAGATGGATGATTTTCAACATGTGGGTGATAATATACCCAAAACACAAGGTTTAAGTTATAACCTATGCAAGTGCATAGCTTCCGTTTATGATTTAAAGAGGGAAAAAAATTTACTGTCAAAACTTAAGAAACCTCTTCACTATGACTAGAAACTGTGCAATTCTCTGAAAAGCTGTTCAAGTAAAATATACTCCTGTTTGCTACAGAGAGAGCAGACAGGGAAGCTTCAATTGGTTCCATAAAAGTCTTCTCATGCTATTTTAGACATTATTCTGAACTTCAGCTTCTTGTGCTCAAGCGACAAGAACCATTTCCCCAAAGAAACTCCTCCCCTGAAATAAGGCAACTCCTGACAATCACGTGCAGTTACAACCTCAGGTGGCAGCAGATGATTGCCCCATAATGTCCTGTGACATTTCTATCACAAAATAGAAGTTAACTGCTCTAATCACAATACCTTTGACCCCTTAGAAGTGTTTTAGCTCTTCAAGTTACTTGCCCCAGGAAGTAGTTTTGCAAGATTTTTACGTTTCCCACTATCAAACACAACAGCAAATCAAGATTATTCCATATGAAACATTCCCATGGGCACAGTAACTTAAATACTCTTTATGTTGGTATCTATCAATGACAGCTTAATCTCCAAAGCAGAACAATTATCAATACAATTTTTGAAAATGATTTTTGCATATAAATTCTCACTGCAAGTTCAATGTCAACTTCCATCTGTAGCTCTGGCAGGGATCTGAGAGTATATGTAAAGCCTTTATTTGGTGCACACTGGCTTTGGACCTAGACTCATTACACAGCTGCAGTAAAAAATAATAATTGAAAACTTCAAGCGTGTCTCAAACTATAAATCTTCCAACACAATACAATCTTATTTGCTTTGGAAAAGCAATTTCTTTTCCAATTTTGATGTTGGAATAGTCAACCTTGTCTCAGAACATTAAGCCTGAAGTTCCACCATACAAACTCGCCTCAGGAACTCCAGATTTTAAGGGCCTGACATTCATTTAACGTAAACAAGAGCCAAAAGTCTATTAAGCATAAAGAAAAAAAATCTGGGATAACCCTCCTTGCCCTTCCCCTCACACACCATTCACAAGCTGAAATTAAAAACTACTCCTTTTACTGAGGAAAAACGAAGCTTGTCATCTACCTAAAGCTGCTTTTGCTGCCCACTCAGCCACTGATGTTTTGTCTCATAGAAAGCCCACTCCTCCACTCTTTTCTTAATTAGAATACTGACTTATTAAAAGCTTTACCAGATTCAGTCCTCTCATCCAGGTGAAGCTTACCTTTAGTCCTATTAGCCATAATCCAATCCAAGCACTGGATTATACATATTTGTTCGTTTCACAATGAACAGTCGTTTCATTGCTACTTTAAGCCTTAGGTTGAATACTGAGATGCTGTCTGTAATCACTGGATGCACTTAGATAAAATTTCCCTGCAAATCATGATCAGTATTGTGAGGTTTTATATCTAGCAGCAAAAAAAAAAAAAGCAGAGTTACAGAAATATACATTTTGAACAACAAAGAACTCTTTATTTTACAAAATGTATTTCACCTTTTCAGTATTGCCTCTGTAAATGTACTTCATGCTGCAACTACTAACAGTAAAAACATGATTTGCAGCAAATTAAAGGTGCTCAACCAGTTCCAACAGTTTGATTTCTTTTTTTTTTAAGGTACAATATTACGTAGTTGCACATTTGATTCTTAGATGTGGTCCTTTATTTGCTTTAGTTTGTTGAAATCACAGTGAGAAGTTCTCATCAACTGCCTCAGGCCACAGATTTAATGAAGATAATACAAGGACAATCGTTCTTTACTGCAAAATCTTTCCTTAAAGAAGTGAGCCAAAGGCTAGTGTTTCATTTATTCACTTGCTGCTGTATATGAAGGAGGAATTCATAGTATGATAAGGCTGATTCTGTTCTGTCTTCAATCATGTTTTGCAGAAAACTTGCTTTCAATGGACTCTCATCCCTTAAAAATGAAAATATAGTCAGTGAAATAAACATTTGCCAAGATCTACAGTGCAATGCATTCAAAAAGTTCCAGGTCAAGTGGCAAGATATTTCAAGATCTTAAGGACATAAGAAAAGAGGATCTTAAATAGCTCTTGTTATTAATCCCAACACTAAGGGCACTTATCAGCATTTATTTAATTTATCCAACTTGTTTTCTGACATTTAGTCTTTTTTAGTTTGTGGAAATTTTGACTGGAGACAATTAATAACAAGTCATATCCATTGTCAAATCTGTTATGCACAGCATGCACCATTGTTAAAACTCCCATTAAAGAAGTTCAGTACATGATATCCAAATATGTTCCTGTTGAGAGGTCCCTAAAGAAGAACAATACTTAAAACACCCACTTACTTGATTATATATAGTATAGGAAAGAAAGGTCTCTGTTCCCTTAGCCATGAAATGAAAGCTGTTGTTCTGACGGATTCTGCAGTTTCAAGTTCTGGGAGATGTGTCTAAAAGGCAAAGGGCCTCATTAATACATACAGGAGGATTTTTCAGACCAACAGTAAAAGGAACACTTGACATAGCCCAACTATCTAATAAGGTATAAAAGAAAACCAGAGACATGTTTTGTGATATATAACTAGAGGGCTAACATTTGAAGAGTGGTGTTTCAGTTTCTTGAAAATAGTGTTCTGGCAGTAGGACTGGTGCAGAGCAAAGCAAGAACGTACCATATTCTGGGGTATTGAGCCATAATTTGGAACTCCAAGGACCTGGCTGATAAAGTTCTGCCCACAGTTCTTCCCAATCCACAGAAACATTACCTGGAAGATACCCAGCAACAACATTAATCCAATGCACAGCTACACCTCAGCAGTCTCCTACACATTTTGAGTTCTCAGAAAAAAGGCATCAAATAGATCTGTACACATTTTAAAATCCCCACCATGCAACTTACAGAGCCAGCATCCATTAGGTAAGCACCATCCCTGCTCAGCTTCTCCACAGACAGCTGGAGGACAGGTGGCTGAGGTATAGTTCTGTCATTTATGTTAAGAGCTCCCTAAAGGAAAAAGAAAGAAGAAAAAGCAGCAGTTCACATCTTGATGCATTGAGGCAGGCACAAGAACAGAAGGTTAAATAAGGACAGGACATATTACACTGACCACTGAAGCTGGACCCTTTTAGTTGAAGTCATACTTCAAGTGCCTAATTTACTAATAAATCTCTTAATGATTTATTTAGAGTGGATGTGCTTCATCAACTAATCTAATTAGTTATAGGACTCATAAATATCAGATTTGTTAGGTACAAAAGATGCAATTTCTAAAATTATTCAGGCTCTTACATAAACTTTTTCTCACTGTTCACAGAACTACTTGGACATTTTAAAATAGAGGAAGCTACAGAGGGACAAAAAAATTAAAGCATTTGTTACACTGTCTTTATGTACATGGGATTTAGAGTGTGCGGTAATGACACCAGGCAAAGAATGAAATTAACTTAGAAAAAACCTTCCCCATCCAGCCAGCCATCCAGCCATCCACAGCACAGCTTCTCTCTGGAATTCATCAATCCAACCCCAAATAACGAATCCATAAATACAAACAAACGGGAAAATACGAAACCATAAATTCCAGCTCTGCAGCTTTCAAGTGGAAAACTTGGGGGATTTCTAACAGATTATTTTCCCATCTTACAAATCTTTGGGAGCAGACAAACAGAGAGAGCAATCCAACACTCACCTCATCCGTGAGGTTATCCACTCTGTACAGGCTGGGGTGTGTCATAAGCATGAGGTAAACAAGGGGCTGGTTCTTCACTTGACACATGGTAAAAATGCGCTCATCTAAACGTGTGCTTGTCCCAGTTTGAAAAGCTTTCTGCAAACAACCAGGCATTTCATTGGCCATTAAAGCAAAGTGAGATAAGCTGAATTTAGCACATCAACTACTGTTTATTTCTAACTTACTTAAAAGTCTCAGAGTTGAGCCCTAAGTATTTTCTCAAAATACAGTATTTTATCACTGCAGTTTTACTTCTCCATAGTTTCTGCAAAAGTCTCCAAATCCCAAAATTTTTTATAACTTAACAGACTCCAAGATAAAACTACATATTCACCACCTGTAAATTGTATGCTGTCTACACCCAGGCCTGAGAAACAATTTAATAGGCTTTGTTCTACATTGACCTTTCAAGTCATCAATTTCTGAGATGCAGAGAAATTGAACTGTCATCTTGAGAGAACTTTGTGCAAGGACTGTTGTCAAATCTGTGAAGCATCTCAGCACTCTAATGGCAGATTGAAGGAAGGCTGATTTATTAGACAATCTAAACCAAGCAACTTCTCAATTTTGAGTCCTATGAAAATACTGACAGAGATAAGATGCTTCGTCCATAAAGAAAAGTCCTTTTACTTCAGGTTTACACACCAAACAGACCATCATCCTCTGGCACAGCTTCCTTCTAACTCTTACCTGTTTTAAGAGTGCCAGTACATAGAGAGGGAAGAGCCTCAGGGAGTGGGGGGCCATGAGGCCAGGCTGCTGGATGCTCAGCACTGAGGAGCGATAAGCGGACAGAGAATCGATGACAGCGTTGACCAGGGCGTCCCGAGCATCGCTCAGGGTGGCAGAGACTGAGCGGTCCACAGCTAAGGAGAGAGCAGATCTCCAGTCAGAGGCCTGTCCTCACTCAGCAGGGATACAGTCACATCTTCACTGTGCTCATTTTAAAATACACTTTTATGCACTTTAAGCTTTTACTACATATAAAGGAAGTAAAGACAAATGATTCAGAAAAAAATGCCCCTGATGATGCACCAGACTAAGACCAAGTCCAGGTGACTACATTATGATACCTCAGCTAAGCCAAGCATTAAAAAAAACCTCTTCAGTTTGCAGCTTAGAAGGTACACTTAGAGAATATTTTCTTCTAAGGTTGCTTTCCAGAGGATTACTGCTTGGAGCTTTAGGGATATCCTCTATTCATATCCAAATAAGCTCTTATCTTGCTTACCCATATTGGCTAACAGCCCCGTGATGGCTTGAACATCTGCCCCCAGGTAGACATCACTCAGTGTTGTTACCACAGGTAGGCACATAGTGTGGACACGAATTCGTCTTTCACCTGCAATAAAACAAATCTCTAGTCTTCAAACATAACTTGTCTTATGAAACAAGAAATGGCAGTTTATTCAACAGCAAAAAGAAAAAAAAATATTAATTTACCATACAACTAATGAATCAGGACATTCCAGTAGCTTTTAAAAACAGTTGTCAGTTTCTAGGTTAAGTCTACCTATTCTCAGACCAGAATTACTTTTCCCAAAAAGCTTCTTGGTCTGGAAGACAAAGTAATATCAACAACGTGCAGTAACACCTCACAGCCATGATGTTGATATTGGATAAAATAGTTTTTGTAAGTTCCTACAACTGACCTGCAGCTGATAACTGGACACAAAAAGACTTGTCTGAATACTGTCCTGTTAGTGCAGCTAACATTACCTGGGTTTCTTTGGGAATGTGGTTTAAGTACTGCACTTGGTAGAGTCAGGTTAATGGCAAGTCAAGTTATAGTTGAATTCGATCTTAAAAGTCTTCTTCAACCAGATGGATTCTGTGACTCTGTGATCTTACCTTTGCTGGATGTGTACAGGAGAGCTGACTGAAAGGAAACTACTTGCATATCAGTCAGACTCTCTTCCACTGACATTTGCACAGCATATCCTGCATCTGGGTTTACGTTGGGTAAGGACAACAAGTCTGTAGACCTTACGAAGAAGTTCCCATGGAAAGTATGAATGGAAAGACCTACAAGGTAAGCATTGCATCAAGTCACTTTTATTTCTATAGTTGTGAACTACTGACAGCTTTTACACATCTGCCATCACTGTTAGATGGCTCTGTACCAGAATGCTAAGATCCTTCTCAATGAAATAAAGTATTTTCAGGAAAGGTAAACACCCCAAACAGACAACTAATCCATAGAATTCACAAAGCCTACCAGGAAGCAGGAATTTAAATCAATGCAGCAGTACCAAGTCTCTAGACCATAAAAAAGTCCCTTGTTGAAATAACAAGATTTCCAGTTTTAACCATTCTAAAGTGGAACTTGGATGTCAGTAAAGATACTGCAAATTCAGTCTTTCATAAATGGTCTGATTCCTGGCAGTGAATTTTACTTTTCTAGTATTTGTCTTTTAACCTTTTAAGCTTACATAACACTCAAAATACCAATAAAAACATTCCCAAATAACAGCAAATTCCCACTTTCCATCTGTCCCACCCCCTCAAAAATCAACAAAACTGGTCAAACCTTTGGTGCATCTTATCCTCATGACAGCCTCAAACCCAATCTTTCTAGTTAAATATCTTTTCAGTTCCTTTTGCAACTTCTCCACCTGGACAGGGTTGTGTTTATGATGGTAAGACTGGTAGTAATAGACACTGCCTGCAGAATACCTTGATATACAACCTGAAACAAAACCAACAGCCATTGGCAGAGTGCAGACAGCTGCTGCTGTGGGCTTTCAATATACCACTTGAATGCAATGTTCTCTTTAATTATTAAAGTGTTCACATCTGTGAAGAGCTCTGTGAAACAGTTATAAACTAGTATGTTCAAGTATGTATGTAATTTCAGGTGTGAAATAGTTTTCCATTGGCCTGAAATTACAGGTACTTTGTCATTCAAAAGTCAGGTTAGATAGAGAAAAAATAATTAAAATGCAAATGAAGCTTACTCTGAAGTTGTTTATACCAGTGTTTAAAAAGACATAAAAGGAGAGTATTTAAGCCACTTATACCAGAATCACAAAGAACTGTGGCTCTTTAGGGGAGACTATCAAAACATTTAGGTTAAATCAGGGAAGACTAATACTTCTGTCACTGCTCATCAAGGATGAATTTTCATCTTAACACACTAGATTAATTCAGATCAGGTTCACATACTGTTACTGTAGATTGCATGTATTTGCCAAAAGTACACACCCAAAACAGCTTAATATGACTTACCTAGAGAAGCCAAGTCAGAATATTGTCCACTAAGAAGAAATAAATCCACTGCAACCTGTTGCCCTGAGCAGTCCAAGGCTAACTTCTTGTAAAAATCAGTTGATGGTGTCAGATGAATGTCCTGTTAATACAAGAGAGCATTACAAATATAAGGGACATTCTAGCAGATTAACACATTTATTGCCTGTTTTCAGGCACACTAATAATTGATTCTCCATCATTGATGTCAGTAATATCTCACACAAATAAACAACAGAAGGTTAGCTCAAGAAGAGAACCACAACATTAACCTAGAACAGGCAATCCCAGAAGCACCTCCATGTACAGAACAGGGCAGACTGTGCTCTCAACCTTTTTGCTTTTCTAACCTTTGCAGCTGCTCTTTGGTTTGGCTCTTCTCGTGACTTCAGAGCTCCCATTCCCACAGATGGAAGCTGTGTCTGGAAGACAGAGATTCTACCTCCAGTGGGGGACATCAGTTTAAAGGCAGCCTGTAATGCAGGCCCCAGAGCACTCTGAGTTTCCAGGGACTTGGTAAACATCTGTGGCAGGCTCCTCAGCAGATCCTGAATTAGCTATAATTAAGAAAACAAAAATGCTTACATTTAGGAGTTTTGCTCTTACAGAGCTGATTGCTGAATACACATAAACACGTATTAACATTTCTAATATTAAGGTGGCAAAGAAAATGCACCAGCAAAAGTACTGTCTTGTTTCAGGTTGGAAAACTTTTCAGTAACATTGATAAATTTAGACCTCTTTTTTCCCACCTCAAACTTGGCATTTAAACTGTTAGTGTTAAATTACAGTAAGTAATGAAGAAATTATCGAGCACATCTCAAACTGTATAAATGTCACCAGTTATTTAATGTGGTTCTTACCTCTTTATTTTCATTTAAATTTACTAGTAAGTTTTCTGGCATTGGTATAAATACATCTGGAAGGAAAAAAAAAAAAGACTATTTAACTTATTTTTTTTAACACACAACAAGCTTCCCCCAATTGTATCTGCTAGCCATTATACCTATTGAAAAAATACAGTATCAGTGTGAAAACCCATTTAAACCTAATTATGTGGATTTCCTTTTTTGTCATAAGCCTCCCCATGGCTAGAATGCTACGTCAGAAGACCAATCAGGGTCAAAGGATAATCAAGACCATTAAGTAAAAACGCACAGTCAAGATTTTCTAGTGTTCACTCTGCCCTACCTCATAACATGCAGTGAAAGGTGACTTGAAACTAAAGGCAGAAGAACAAGCACTAAGCATCAGTCACCACTGAATCTACAGCAATTTACCAAGCATCAGTATTTGGGATCATAAGAGAAATCTAGATAATTGTACAAATTAAATTAGAAGCTAGGAAGGCTGTCTTCATGTTGGAAGGTCACAGCATTGCTTAGACATCAGGGGCTTCATAAACACAGACATATGCTACTTTTAAAGCCATTAGTAAGGAGACTGATGATCTGATCCAGAAAATCCATCAGATACATTTTTTAAAAAGGCTGTCAAAACCAGCAGTCACTGGCAAATACTAATCACAAGTTATTTCTGCATACCTTCAATATCTGAAACTATAAGCATCTGGGGCTGAGAGAGACCTTCCTGAAGACTGTAGAAATGGATTGTGCTGTCAAATGTTATGAAGCCTATTTTTGTTCTAGTGTTTCCAGGAAGCCTAAAAATGAGACATATGGCATTTAGCAAGATGAAATTTCATTTCTGCAGGCTTTTTAAAAAAACAACAAACCACAAACATCCACTGCACCTGCCCAAGGTTATTAACAAGCAGTTAGTTAAGTCATTTTGGAGAACAAAACTCAAAAAAAAACAACCACCAAAAAAAGGAGCTCATAGTAGAGCCACCTCAAGAGCATTTTTGAGAGGGCAGTAAGAAATGGAAGAAAAGGAAGAAACAAGCTGCAAAATACCAAGCAGCATTTATGTAAATTCAAATAGCATGTATTTCATTAAAAGTTTATTAAGAGTTATTAATTTCTTTCAGAAAATACTTACAGTTCAAAAAACGGTGTTTATTCCTTTTTGGGATTGGTGAAGCAGATAGGAAAGGGTCAGACTAAGACACAAGCCTCAAAACTATATTTTATATCAGTGTTAAAGGAAAAAGCCTACAGCTTTATGCTGCATTTTAATACAAAATGGGCTATTTCTAACCTGCTATAAAAGCTTCTCTAGACAGGAAGTCCTGGCATGCTGGTTTCTATCACAAGTTTCATAAGAGGATGAAAATAGAAGATGGTATGAAAAAGGTACTTACAAGTCAAGATTGTCTAACAAGGTCTGGCAGACTGTATTCAAGTATCCTGTCTCTATTGCATTATGAGAGACATCAAACACAAAGAGGTACACAGGTGGTTGAGGTGGACGAAGCTGAGAACAGAAAAAAATACCTTTAATCTTCAAAATGACATTTATTAGATTGGGTTTATTCATGCCACTGCAAGTTTAAACTCTTAAAACAGCACAGCTAGAAATTCTAAATGCATTTGTCCCTTATTGGGGGATTCTAGAAGTGTAGTTTTCTTCCAGAAGACCTACAAACACCCACATATTCTAAATACAGGACAAGTTTGATGTAATAAATGTTGAGAAATGGAGAACTATTTGTAGCTCTTCCCAAGAGTTCCCATCAGGTGCACTCCTTGAGGCACCAACTGCTCTACTGAGCTGGAAAGCACCCTCTGGAACAAGACTTTTTCTGACCTCCCTCTTGAAGTGAAATAAAGGGAGAGAATAACAAAAAGCAAAGAAAGCCTTACCATGTATTCAGATGGAGCCATGAATTCAATAGTAGCATTCTGGACTTCAGGTCTTTTATGAGGTTCTCCATAAACTCTTGTCACAGGATTATACATGAATTCTTCAGGAACTGTGCAGATGAGTTGATATATTATTACCTCACACTAGTACAAGCTGTGGTGCATTTTTAAACAAACACATCAACTTTTTTGTGCCTGTTGGGCAACACTTCTTGGAAAATTACACTAGGCAGGGCAGCTCCTCTGTCACCTGCTGGGAAACCTTGGGAGACCACATCAGACTCCCTGTAGTCCATGACTGACACCACTGTCCCAGCCCACAGGAAACACTCCTCGCATCTCTCAGCCCCAGCATGACTGGCAATGACCACCAGGACCAACAGCAGTACAGTCCAAAGGTGAAGGTGAGAAAGGTTAACCTTAGCAGTTTAAAGCCATGAGCATATGTAGAACCTACCATCATTCACTCGGTAGCACAAATTGCATTTCCATCTCCTTTGGTCTAGAAAGCTGACAAAAGGGTTAATGTACGTCCGGCAGGAACGGCATCTCACAATAGTGCTTGAGGTGACCACAGGCAATTGCTGGAAAAGAAAATCTTCCTGTTTTAAAGCATCACCACACTATAGCTCTTCATCTACCACAACATCAATCACTCTCGGCTTCCTGGTTAGCTAGTCAGAGCACGTTTGTTGAAGGAAGAAGTATTTCTGGATACTCACAGCATCCTACAGTTCCTTCATAAGACAAATGCTCAGAACTGAGCTCCAATCTATTTGATTAGAGTCAAACTTGGCCTCTAAAGTCTTGAATTTTACACTGATGGTTTAAGACCAAGTCCTACACCAAATAACACATCACAAATCAGGCAAAAAGCCCCACATCTTCGAAAAAAATTACTTGAATTGTGAAAACCAACAGCATTTAAAAGAGGCATGCTACATTCACAGAGTCTCCTGGTGATTTGAGGACATCCAAATGCCTTTCAGTTTGTTAATTCTTATTTAGAAATTAATACTAGGTTTTGCATAGGAAATCAATAACTAGAACTGATGTGTGACAAGATAAAGATAGCTAAGCAATATAGGAATTTATAGATGTTGCTTTCAGTCACAGCCCGAGTGCTGTGCTGCCTCTAAGCTTCTGGGATTTTGAGGTTTGGGAGGGTTTTTTAATTAAAAAGTGAAGCTTGAAAGCTTAAAAATGGCAGGGAGATAAATTTCAGAAAAATTACAGTGAACTGTATGAAACAGGGAAATGTTAGTTACCAGGGTAATTTCTGTGGGCCAAGATTAGCCAGTGTGCTTGCCCTTCTTTTATAGTTCATTGTCCAGCTCTGGACTTTATACAGGCATAGTTGATACTTGAGCATTTAAAGTTGTGAATATTTGTCATACCGATAAGTCTTTGAAAGGATGAAGCAGGAGCCCCAAAGGAAGTTTGGCTTTATTCAATAAGGCCTGAGTTTGAGGAATGTTAGTCAAGGTACAGCGGAACAACCTACATGGAGGACAAAGGGTTATTTTCAGAGGCTTTCAGATAATAAAATTATTATTTCAGTAGTACAGAGCATCCTTTATATATTTTTTTTCTATATTTTTCTCAAGCTGGTGAAATTCTGTTTCCAGATAAAGGATCTTCTCCAGCTCTGTCAAATGGCTGTTTCAGTCTGAGCCTGAACCATAGTACATACTCTGAGTTCTGTTATTTTATACACATGCTTTTTACACAGAACTGAGTGTTATTTTAGTCATTCTATCACAGTTAGGCCTAGCAATGTTCAAAGTTGCACCAAATCTTTACATACTAAGTGTTACTTTGGACCATTTTGAGGTGGCCTTATATAGAAATGTGAAGCAGCAAAGTTTAAAAAGCTGTCTTAAAGCTACACAAAAATAACTATAAACAACCCCAGTCATTTTAGGGACTTCAGAACTCGGTGGTTTCCACCAAGTGCAGATGTGAACAGTACCTTTGCAAATCCAGTCCAGCTTATTGCTATGACTAACTTCATAAAGAAACTTATTTCCTCTATCTATCATAAAAAGACTTGCAAAGGTGCAGAACCTGGTTATATACTGGTGGGTCTCCTTAGAGAGGATCTGATTAACCAATTGCCAGCCTTGTGTTCGACATTCCATTTCTTGCACTCTTTTCAATGGTTACTTCAGTACAGAGGTCGCTCATATATCTGCATTCTCAATCTTTTTGGTGTACCTCATTTAAGTGAGTTAACTCCTAGTTCAGATCTTTTCTCAATCCTACTCAAGGCCAGCTCTACTGTGAAGGTTTTGTATTCTGCCTACCAACTGGTGCCTTGCAAACAACATTTTTCTTCATACTTCCCACATGGATAATTTTCCCCACTTCAAAGTTGGAGCCACTTACCCCCTTTATCTTAACACAGTGAGGTCTGTTTTCAATGTCTTTCACTCACAAAATTAAATCAATGTTTTGTGAAAAGTTATGTTAACAAGTAAGAAGGTATACTTCAGTTTATTTTGATTAATTGTAACAAATTGATAATCTTACTCAGGATTACAGTTGAGCTTCTGGATCTCTTCATGCAAGTTTGGGACAGGAGCCTTCAAGAGGGTTGTAGGGAGAATATTTCTTTCTTGAAGAAGATTAACAGGTTTTAATCCTTCTTGCTGTAGACTCAGGCTACCCATAGATGCAGTTAAGTGATTAGTGCCCAGGCCAGGCTAGAGTCAAATAAAATTTTAGAAATTAGCACCAATCATTTGCATGAAACTGACATCTCATTTAAAAAGCAAACCTATTTCCTTTCATTTTTTAAAAAATGTGTTTTAACTGCCATTGTATTACAACGATATATTTAGAAATACTACTTCTTACATAAACTTGGACATGTAACACAACAGAGGTAAAAGCTAGCACACATTTGCTACATAGCTCTTGAGATAAAGAGGCTTAGCTGGCAACAGTGTTGGTCAGTTGGCTTTGAAAGTTCAGGAGAAAGCCCCAAATACTTCAGCTAACAATAACAACTCAAGGGAAGGGAAAACATGCCAAAAGCAGCTGAAAGTTTTAAGAGAAGTATTTTGAAAAGGAGGCTAGAACACGTCAGAAAGAGCTGGTGCACAGCTTTTCCAAACTGGTATGAAGGTGACAGCAAAAGCATTCATTTCAGGCTATGCCCAACATCTCAAACAAAGGTGACCCACAGAAGCTGCACCCCACAAATGCACAATCCCCACCAATCCCCACTTCTCTTTACCCACACGTGCCACGGGTAGTACAGGGGTAAAAAACAGACAATCTTTACCTGTTGTAAATGTTTTGATCCATCTGGATATTGCAAAGCAGATGTTTGCATTCCTGGTGCTCCAGGTGGAGAAGTATTCTGGTAGCCTGGAGGTAAGGTAGGGTATGAATACCCAACACTTCTATTCATCTTAAGATTTGGGGGTGCAGGAGAGGGATGTGGAGTTGCTAGAGGCAGAAAAGACAAACAGTTAAAATTAAGTGAAGAACAGCAGCTTGCTCAATGCACCAGTACAGCAGGAAGGCTTTTGGTTGTTGTTCAGTTTCTAAGTGCAAACAACTGAACTGCAGTGCTCTTTGCCAAGTGCTCTTAACTGTTTTCCCATCCTGACAGGCAAAGATATGCTAAATGTCAATGCCTCAAATGTCATATTTAGTTTCCAGACAGACATCAAACCAAGCATATATATTTGTACATAAATGCCTAAGCTGCTATTTTTCCCAGACTATATTTTAAAAAATAGTAAACATTTTTAATCCCAAAGCCTTACCCATGAGGCCACCACCTTCTATTGCATCATAGCTGTTCTGCACCACAGACCCATCACTGGCAGCAGATGTAGCATCACCTATTTAGAAAGACAGTCCCAGTAAAAATTTCCACAGGTTCCTCACAAATTGTAATGAGGTAACTGCAAAGAAATCCTACTTCCTATGAAGATTAGCAGTTTGGATCTACTTGGTTTCTATCTCAGGGCAAAACTGAATTAAATACACTTCTTACCCTCATGCACACTTCCCCAGCTGACATGACCTTAAAGGGCATTAATAAAATCTCACAATCTTTTAGAAGGAAAGCAAAGTCCCTACACTTCTGGCTCAATGATCTTTTAAGATTAATTTAGATTAGGTATTCTCCATGACCTCCAAGCTGAGATGCAGCAAAGTGTCAAAGGACATTTCCTTCCCATCAAAGGATGTGTCTCTAGGCCAGCTACAGTTTTCAAAGTATCCTGAAATTCAGGTACCAAGTTCCCTGAAGAACTCTTCCCACTGATAATTCACAGAAACACTCAGTTCCATTCACACTTGGTCCAGTACTGCTCACCAAATACCAGCAATCCTGATAGGGTGACATACCAGTCACAGACCCACACAATGTCAGGGGTTGGAAGGGACCTCTGGAGACCGAGGCCAACCCCCCTGCCAGAGCAGGACCACCTGGGGCAGGTCACACAGAAATGCATTCAGAGGGGTCTTGAAAGTCTCCGGAGAAGACTCCACACCCTCTCTGGGCAGCCTGTCCCTGTCACCCTCACAGTAAATAAGTTTTTCCTCATGTTGAGGTGGAACTTCCTGTGTTCTAGTTTGCATCCACTGCCCCTTGTCCTATCACAGGGTGTGACTGTCAAGATACAAATTCCAGCTGAGATCAGAAAAACCTTGACATCGAGAGAGTGCTGCCGAAGGAGAGCCTTTGTAAGCTGTGTCTAAATATACAAACCCAATTATCTACTGCAAAGGAGGAGGTACTCAATTTACTTTTAATTACTGTTAAAATCTTTGAAGGTGACCCCATGAAAGGAACGTGCATAGTATGTTGAGCCTTGCTCATATGCAGCAGTCAACCTACTTCACACACTAAACATTTCTCTTCATTATGAAAAAAAGATTTTTAAAGCTAAAGCACTTTCTAATGATTTTCCTATGTTCCAAACTAAGCTAAATCTGAATATACTACTCTTGTACTCACACAGCTACTACATACAGGAAACTGTCAATCTGAACATGCAAGGAACCAGCAGCTGTGACAGAACAAACTAGGTATGTAAAAATGAAACTGGCAGCTACCACATGGCCCCGTGGAGCACGGGCACTAAATGCAATACAGCTACAGGTCTGTTTGATTCACAGCCCTGATGGGTTCTCAAACAATGGCATATTTGTGCAGGGCCCACAGGAGACAGAGGAAGTCAGGTATCTGCCTTCAACAGCTGACACTAACAGCCTCTACTAACGGCCTTCAGAAAATGAACAAATCCAAGATGTCATGTCAGAGATTTTACACAGAAGAGAAGAATAAGGCATGGCTACAGGAACCATTCTATGATTCCATGTTAAACACCACTTAGAAATGAATTTCAGAGTATTAATTATTTTTATTTTATTAACAGCTGTCAACAAGAAATATTTTACTTCCTTCCAGGTCCTCACCTGCTCCTTTCAGATAAAATTATGCTATGTTAGCATCAGTTTTACTATTTGAGGGTCTACCAGAACCGTGTACCTGACTTTAAAGGTTGCATATTACAGCAAGATGCAACGTTCTAATTCAACAAGAGAAAATTGTTTCTTACCTTCTCGATTTGCAGTTGAGTTTAGCAGAGACTGTGTGTTAGGTGGTCCTGCTGTCAGTGTTGATGGTCTAATTAAAGGTGGACCACCAACTGGTGGGGGTCCTAAAGGTGGAGGGGGCTGGAGTGGAGTTAAAGGCTGAGTCACTGGTGGAGGTGCTGATCCTGTAAAGAGATTAACTTTTAGAAGGAGTTTAACCCAGCTGAAAACAGCAGGAGATACATAAATCCCAACATGCATGCAGAAGGTTTCACAACTTCAGATGGTTTCTGTCACACTCTTATACTGGGTTCCTGCAGCTTTTATCCACAATCTCTCTCAGCTTTTTGTTAACATCGGAAAGAATTCCAAGATGCACACAGAGCATTCCAACTTCAATCACTAGGTCTGGACTTCATAAAGTTATAGCACAGCCTCCATGTTAGAGTAGAATGAACTAGTTAGAGGCTGAACAGAGGCCTGGTGACAGGATGCTCATCTTCCACTTCAATAATCTGACACAAAACAGAAACATTCAGATTTTATAGCTACTAAAATTACCTGGGAAAAAGATTTCACTTGGGAAAGCATCTGCAATGTGCAGTTTGAATAACTTGCTGTGCAAGTGTGAGGTGTTTTGCTCTGAAATGTTTAACCCTCCATGTTAAAAGTCACAGGAAAGTTTTTAATTGCTTCTGTTTTAAAATGTGTCTGAGAGGATGTCCAAAGTTGGCCATATAGGCAGGGAGCTGGCAGACATTTGTTCTAAGATTAAGCATGATCAGCAAAATGAGCTAAACACACTTTAAAAGTGATCATTGTTCTACAAAAAATAACCAGGGAAATTGCTCAGGAGGATTCACTGTTGAATAGATATAAAAATTCTCCAATTCCAGACACTCACTCTTATTTCATGTGCCACTTTCTAAAACTTCTCATCATTTTCCTCACTAATTCCAAAGTACTAATTGTTTATTCCAATAAACTGCCAGAAATAGTCTCATAAATTCTGCAGGCTTAAAACAGTTTGAATATCATAACAGAATTGGTCAGGCATATAACTAAAAAAAACTCTTTAATGAGTCTAAAAACATTTCATAAGAAAAAGATTTGCTTTAACATTTAAAATATTTCTGTAAATGTCTCCTATTAGCTCAGAAGGATGGTTAGAAAAAACTCTACAACAACAAACAGCACTTTGGCAAAGAGAAACTTGAGTATTAACTTAGCTTTCATAATAATCACAAGTTATGCAAGAGCTACTTAGTGTTAGAAAAGCTTTTCCCCAATAGCAGAAACAGACAAGGTAATTCTTTGCATCTCATGCTTCCAGAGAACTTTCTAAATGCTGACAGTTACTATTAGAAAGTGAAAATTACGAGTTTGGAGGAAGGAAACTTTTCACTCAACTGGCCCCTATTCCAACAGCATAGAATGCTTTCCAGTTTGCTTTCCAGGCTGAACTCAAGTTGTTTGCATCACCCTGATGGAGACCATCATGAGAACTACCTGGATCAAGTGGTTAACAGGAAGGCTGACAAGGTTTAAACTGTGAAAGGCCACACTCACTGAACAGGACCACAGCTTTCACCTGTGAATTCCCCAAGTTCCCACTTGACTGAAGCATGCCAATGCTCTAGAAGCCATCCCAAGGAGTGGTGAAGGTCACAGAAAGAGCATTAGCAACAAACGGCTTCCCAGAACAACAAGACATCATTCAGGTGGTACCTTCTTCAGCCAACTGAAACACCTGACCTGCACACAGAACTTCCATCTCTGATCCAAATAAACCACCCCAGGATTTGTGATGTGCATATTCTCAAAGTATCTGCTTTGACATCTTGGTTCCACAAGCAAAATGCTGCTGCAGAGTCAATTCTGTGTTGTTTTTTTTTTTAAAATAAGGATGCTGAGAAATGGGCATGGAGAGAACATCACAAAGTCATAGTTACCTGGCTTCATGTAGCTGTTCTGAAGCGGAGGACCACCTGGAGAAGCAGCATATTGGTAACTTCCTGGAGGATTTGTATTTCCTGGTAAGGACAGTGGTGGCTGAGCTGACCCTGTCCCTGTCATGTGAGCCAAATGGCTGGTTTGAGACCCCACTGGCTGGCTCACAGGAGACTGGCTGTGCTGCCAGTTTGAAAGCACTGGTGGGTTAGCTCCAGGAGGAAAGCTCCCAGCAGGTGATCCAGCAGCAGAGTTTTGCAATCCAGGCAGCACTTGTGGAACGGGACCTGTTTGTTGTACTGGTGACCCAGAGAAAGGTGCCACTGGTGGTCTGTTGAGAGTCTGCCCAGGTCCTTGATAATTGTTTAACTGAGGAACATTCTGAGAGCCACTGTAGTTATACTGTCCCAAAGACTGATGGGGAGGAACCTTCCCTGGTGTCTGATGTCTGTATCCCTGGCCATCTGGTGAGTGCATCAGCTGATTCTGAACAGGACCTGGAAGAGAAAAGCCAACAGCCCTTTAGAAAGTCAGTCTTGTGCATCACTTCTGAAAATAAGAGATGTGAATGGCAACCTCTTGGGATTTAATTAATCTCCAAGCCTTTTCTTTTTTTAAACAATCAGGTGCAAGTGACAGAAGAACTGCTGCAGGTGACATCAATTTGGTAGCATTTTGCCAGCAATACTTACATCTTTGGTCTTGGTTTTTGTTTGTTTGGGTTTTTTTGTTGTGTTTGCTTTTTTTTGTTGTTTGGTTGGGTTTTGTTTAGGTTTTTTTGTGGTCTGTTTGTTTGGTTTGTGGTGCTTTTTTTGGTTTTTTTTTGTGTGTGTTTTTTGGTGTTTGTTAGGTTTTTTTACAGTAGCCTCCCAGTCACTAAGCATTCATGTGCATGAGCACTACCCATCCTCCTGGACTGAAATTCACACACAATACTATTTCTATCTTCAGGAACACCCAAAAGCAAGCTGGCCAATGAGGAGTGCTCTCCCACACAGCTGGCAGCAGGACAGGAGAGCAGACTGAAAGCAGAATCCATGATGCAATAACTCAGTTTCACTTGATGACTGACACCAACTCAAACTTCAGCTGATGGCAAAGCATGAGCAGCCAGTTTCAGCATAGGTCATCGTGCTGTTTCTCAAGTGACAGAGTTAATCTATGAAAGTTTCTGCAGTTAATTTTAGTAAGAGAACTATTCATATACTTATACTCACTTGTGTGAGTGGCCAACTGGTCATGAAGATGGAATGAAGGGCAATTTAATAATAAAATAATTCACCAGTCAGGAAAATAAACCTTGATAGGTTAAAGGTGTTTCTCATGTATTGATTGGTATAGCTGAACTAAGTTGTACTCATTTGAAAAAAAGATTAATAACTCTCCAAACAGTAAACACTGGCTAGAGCAAAATCAGATTTCTGCTTTAGAGAACTCAAAGAGACAGAGTACCAAGAGCTTTCCAGTGTGATAAGACCTCCATCAAGAAAGCTACAACTACAGGTTGTTCATACTGTTGCCACAAAATATATGCCCCTTAAAAATCACAAAAGCACTTTCTAATGGTGTAGCGTTTTTTTTAAGCCAGTCATACTGCGGTTCCCCCCATCCAAACATGGTTTGGCTACTGGAGATGTTCCACATACACAGTTTATCCTCTGAAAGAAAAAAGCTCCTCTTCATGGTTGGGAGTTAAGACTATTTTCTTTGCAACTCTGCACTATTTTCCAGATTTGCAGTATTACTTAAAATGTGGACAGGTTCTTCTGCTCAGAAGTGCTTTCCAGCAGATCCACCCCTGGCCTTTACTGGTGCTTGGGGTTCTTCCTCCCCAGGTGCAGGACCCTACACTTGCCCTTGTTGAACCTCATGAGGTTCTTCTCTGCCCAGCTCTCCAGGTCACGCTGAATGGCAACACAGCCCTCTGGGGTGTCAGCCCATCACAGAATTTCATTTAACATTAAAACAAAGATGTCTGGTTTCCTATTGAAACATTCTGGTTAAATTTCAAAAAGTGAGCAAGTTAAAATACCTTTGAACTTGGGTCTTTCTGACAATAAATTAAGCTGAACACAGAATACAATGAAATAGTTAGAACAAACACTGCACTGGGCACTCAGCTCTTCACTCCCTGCAAAACCTTATGCTACAATCCGCAGGCAGCTGTTACTTCACTGAGTATCCTACACATCCACACTGACTCCACAGCCAAGGCACCACCACAGTGACCTCATCCTCACTGCCTCTTTTTTGTGCATAAAGAGTATGTACTATATTACCCTCCACCCATTAATCTCAATATGCTGCCTGTTTTTCCCTAGGAAACCCAGTTATATGCCACTGTCCTTATAATGCTGCTCATAAATCTTAGTAATTAATAATTCTCTAAAATCAATGATTTCTGAAGAAAAAAAGCTTGCACAAAAATGCTAACAATCATGACTCACCTTTGACAATCACCCTGCAGTCTATCAGATAGGTTTTCAACAATCGATTTACAAAATCCATTGTAAATTAAACTTGCTAACTCTGAGACTGATGAAGAATTCTCCTGTGCTGCCAGGCCTCAGGACTGCAGCAGCATGCACACTGATACAACAACACTACTATAAGCCATAGCAAAAATACAGAACAAACACAAATCAATTTCCTAAGTTAACTGTTCACCTTTGAGCATGAACCTGTTGCCTGTGCAGCACAGTGTCTGGATTGCTCTCTTACCCCCTGTCTTCCCTGCCCGAGGGTTAAGCTTGAGGATAAAGCAATGGAAGTGAAATGAAACCCAAAACTGAATAACCTGGCATTTTCTATGGCACTTTGCTTTAAAAATCAAATCCATCACAGCACAATGCTCCAAATTTCTATTTTTAAAGGCAGAAGCACAACTAAAAGTCTCAAGAGGCTACTCTCAAGTCTGCATAAAGCTGCCACCAAATTAAAGCCACAGCAGCGAGGGGTGCAGACTGATCCAAAGGGCTTTGCAGTGCACAGGAACTTCTCAGAAGCAGGAACATATCCTGCCCTGACCTCTCCAGAGAGGGCACAGAGGCTGTCCAGCTTTCCCCAAATGCTGCTGCTGGGTTTCTGTGCTATTCTGTGAAGCCAAGAACCAAGAAGGAATTCAGCACAGACTGGAGAGCTAGACCACCTGCAAAGCAAAAGAACCACCACTCAGAGCTGAGTTAGCGATGCAAGAAAGGCCACCTACTTAACAGCAGAAGACACCTCTAAAGGAGTTCAAGGTCATTTAGCTTTTCTAAGAGAGCAGGAGGAGCATTGGAATATATAATGAAGGTTGCCTAAAGGTTTTATAAAATGAGGGGTCAAACTACTGGCACAGGAGGCTGAGATCCAGAGACATCTTTTCTGCCATACAGAATTTCAGCATCACCTGCTCTGAGCCAGTTATTTAGGACATCACTTTCTTCAGCCACAGCCTTTCCAGCCTTCAGGGAGGTGGAAGGATAAATACACTGGAAAGGTGCATCCCAACCAAACTGCCACAGGCTGGGTCACCACCACTGCCCACTTTAGCTGGCTTTGACCCACTGGTCCCCAAACTCAACAGCTTCTGAAGCATCTCATGACCTCCAAGTGCCACACCAAGACATCATGTGAGGAGATGCGAAACAGTCCTAAAAAACAATTGTTTATTCTTCTTCCTTCTGCTGTTAACTGGAAAGCAAATTGGCAACCAGCAGTTAAAGGAGTACAGAACACCGGTCCTATTAGAGGTAAAACAGAGGAAGGTTGTTGCTAAGAAACCTGATGCTCTGTGCTAAACATTTCTCTGGTCAGCACACCGTGCTGCTGTGGGAACTCACTGCCCTCACGGACACCAGAGTTACCTGCAAACTGCAATGCAAGCAACAAGTTGAGAGAAAGAGCTAACAGCTATACAGCAACTCACCATTCTGCTGACAGCTTTCTGTCCTCACAGACCACAGCAGGTACCACAGCACTGCTCTCACTACACTCTAGGCAGTTTTAAAAAGCTTTATTTTCACTGTAAAGGTCAAGGATCACAGCACCATCTCAACATGTATTCTGAACAATGCTAAGAACAGTCCACGTTTGAATAATTTAATTTATTCAAATGGCCAGCAACTCAAATCTCATCCCTAACATCCCACAGCAACTGTTTAATTTTCATACCCTGTATTTGCATAACTCTGAATTTCAGTTCTTTATTTTCCATACACCTGGCAGCCAGGAAGCCTGAAATTCCTCCTCATCCAACTGCCTCTCCAGAACTTCCATTATGTGCTTAACCCTACTACAGGGAAATCAGCAAACATGAAGTGATGCCAGCCTGTAAATCATCCCACTCCACTGCTCCATTAGCCAACCTTCCTTTGCACATTCTGCAGAACAGAGGCTCTCTGTCTTCAGCCCTGATTCATACACTTCCCACCTTCTTGACCCTAAAAGCAACCAGACAGTTGTTTGCAAAACGTCCTTCTGCAGATGACTTTGAGGAGAAGGAACAAGCAGGCTGTGAAGGGGGAGGGGGGCCGACAAGTCAAGCCCGTGCATCAAGCAGGAGGACAGAACATCACCAGCTCTCACTGTGTGTGAAGAGCCTGCGATGCAGCACAACTGCCGAGACACAAGATGGTTAAGGAGCAAGGACAGCGGATGCTGCCCGGGTGTGCAAAACCAGGAAACGCTCCCAACAGCACAGATTGCCACACGCGTGAAGAAAACAGGTAAGGAGACAAGGGTCGCCTTGTATTTCTTTCTCCCCACCTAAAAAGGCTCCTCCT